AAAAAAAACAAAAAAAAAAAAAAAAAAAAAAAAAAAAAAAAATTATATGTTGATTAACCTGAATTTTCATTCAAAAAAATGTTTGAAGTTTTATCCGAGTAAAAATGAGCAGCCCGGTGCCTAAAGTATTCACTCAGGGATCGGGGAAGGGCCGCAACCCAGAGTATGATATAGATATCATACCCTAATGAAAGCATTAGTGACTGTTTCCACGGCTCGAACACGTAATCTATAGGTCACACGAAGACAACTTTAACGTTGCTCCGAGACTACCCTTCTAAAGTTTTATTCAAGTAGGCAGTAAAAATTGCAGCTGCATAAATAGAAATAAAAGAAAAAAATAATTTTTTCGCGAAAATTAGTGATTTTACCTGCCCAAATTCTAGCAGCAATTGAAGATAAATTCCAAACGAGTGTGAATATTGCAAATGCAACTGCTTTCTTGTGAGTACATGATTCCCAAGCATCTCGAAAGCGTCTAATCCAAAATGTACCTTCATATTGCATTTGCACGTTATAAAAATAAAATAAATTATTTTAAAATAAAATAAAATAAAACAAATCCACGAAATACAAAGTTTTAGAAAAGAACAAGACATCAAAAGTTTCTTGAAATTATCTAATTTTTTTAGAGAGTTAAGAGTTTAATTTCTATATATTAATAATATAAAAAACTTAAAAATAAAGGTAATTATCATAATAAATGAATTAGTCGCCTAAAAGATAAGCTTATGATCTGATGTAACAAATTAAATTACAATATATCTTTCTAATGAAATTTGAGGTAGACTTGTATTATTATTATTATATATTTCTCCATCTATCAACAATTTAGACATAAGATTAAGAAAATCTAATATGTGATGCAAGATTAGGTAGCCAAACATTAATACCATATAAAAATAAATTAAGCTTTTTCTTGCATTATCTTTAATAATGTAGAGAAAAAAAATAAGAGGATAATAAAATGGATTGATAAAGATTGAAATGGACCGCTTTCTTTTATTGCACTCATTAATGCAACAAAAATAATAATATGACCCCATATATAACCAACTACGGAAACGGATCAAGAATTTAAACGGTATGAGTTTCACCTTTAAAGTTATTAATATTGAACTTATTATATTTTTAAAGGCTTCATATATAATATTAATATATAATTTTTGTAATTTTTATACATAAATTTATACTCTGAATTAAAAGTTATAAATTCGATTAACCCTTAACTTTAATGCTACGTTACTAGTTGACAAATTTACAAAAGAGACGTTATGTATTAGTTCATCCAGTGACGTATACTGCAAATTTATTAAATATTCCAAATTTTGGTAAGGGAAAAGCCCCACCATTGTACTTGGTGAGGTTGAAAATCTGTTTAACGGTATTATATTCGATTTAGAAATTCTGAATTCCCTATACATCTTCACCAACCAAAATTAAAAAAAATTAAAAAAATAGAGCCGGTAAATTTATTTTTTCATTATAATACTTGCCAGATCTTAGTTTCTACTATCTGCATTTTTAAAAATTGTCTTTGAATTATACTTGCAAAGCATTGTTCAAAGAGAGAGTATAAAAAGGATTTAATGGGCGTTTGGACATAAGAATTCTAAAATTCTGGAAAAAGTGAAAAAAAAAATTCAAGTGAAAATAATATTTGAAAATTAGAGTTGTGTTTGGACATGAATACAATTTTGGGTTGTTTTTGAATTTTTGTAAGTGATTTGAAGTGAAAATTTTGAAAAATAGTCTTTTGAAGTTTTTCAAATTTTCGAAAAAACTCAAAATTCATCTTCAAGTGAAAATTGAAAACTTTATGGCCAAACACCGATTTCGAAAAAAAATATTTTTTTTTCAAATTTTTGTATGGCCAAACGGCCCCTTAATTTACACATATACATTGGCAATGTAATTTTTTTTTCATGTTATTGGTATATTTTACCTTGTAGTAACAAGCAATTTTATGTATTTTCTAAGTTACTAATTTCACTTCATATAAAAGTTTATCTGTAATTATCTTTTAAATAACCTAATAATGTAAATATTATTTTAAACTATTAGTGGTGTATATAAGTAAAAAACTGATATAAAAAAGATTTAATCTGTATATATGCGCCGATAATGTAAAAGATTTTCACTTATTCAATGTATTTTAATTTGTTATAACGAGTAACTTATCTATTTTCTAAGTTGTTAATTCCTTCTTAGTTTAAAATTTTATCTGTAGTTATTTTAGAAATAATTAAATAATAAAAGAAAAAGAAGATGAAGAAGAAGAGCATGGTAAATATTTTTTTTTACCATAGGCAGTTAACTGAGTGGAATAAGAAGAACAGACTTTTGGTACAATGAAAACTCCAAAAAAGCCTGCAAAACAGCCAAAAAAACAAGTGTCAGCAACAACTATGGTAAGTGAAAAAGTAAAAAAGAATGTTTAGTAAAATTTCGTGGAGTCTATGAAGGATAGTGTGTACGCAGACTACCTTGATATTTTTCTAAAATTGTTCATTCAGAAATTGTACATACATCTATTTTTATTTAGTTTTTATAAATTTTATTCAAAAAAATTTAAAGAATAAATATTCGAATTTATACTATTCCTTCCGTCTCAATTTATGTGAAATTATTCGGATTTTGAGAATTAAATAAATTATTATATGACCGTTTTTCATATGTCTTTTAAATATTTTAAATTATTAATTATTGCGTAAAAGTTATATGTTCAAATACATAATCAAAATTAAGAAGTTTAATCCCGAAAAACGAAAAATATCACTATAATTGAGATAAAAATAATAATAATTAAATAATTTAACTCTTGTACTTCGAACCCTTTGCATATAAAATTCACATCTAACAATTCTCACTAAAAAACACTTCCCAAGTTTCATTCTCTTAGGGTAATTTATTTAACTTTTTTACCAATAAAATGAAAAGAAGTAAAAATACAACAGTGAAAAAACATGTTTTAACTTTTAACCATGTTAGAAGCAGAAAAAACTCACCTAATTTGGACATTTTCCAAATAGTTATGGAGCTGCCACATCTAGCCAAAATAAACAGCAGAACTGCCATCTGTAGAGGCAAAATTTTGTCAATTTTCAAATAGTTGAAGTCAGATCAATTATTATTATTTTATTTTAAAATAATACAAAGAAATGAAATGGGAAATTTTGGATTT